TTATTAACAGTGTTTACAAAGGGTCCTGCCATCTGAATAAGTAATCAGTGTGCCCTCAGTCAGGATCAAGCATTTTGACATCAGGCAAGTAATTAAATTTCCTGTAATAAAATTAGAAGTAAGACTGAATGGGGTTCTTACCTAAGTCATCAGGCATAGCTAAACTACTTTGAAGTCAGGTATTTTCTAAATACCTATCTAGTCATAGGATAACTATTCTTTCTTTTTTTTTTCCTTATGTAGTAATCAAGAACCTTAAGAAGCCAATTCCTTTGACCAGAGAAGTGGACATAAATTAGTCTAAACTAAACTACACTCATTGCCACTGAGTCGGATCCGACCCATAACAACCCCTCCTTGGGTTTTCAAGACGATATCACTACAGAAGTAGATTGCCCAATATTCTTTCCAAGGACTGGCTGGTGGATTTGAACCACCAGGCTTCTTGTTAGCAGTCAAATGCCTTAGGCACTATGCCTCTAGCACTTTCTTTCCATCATCAGAACTAATCAGTGCTGAAAGCAAAATAGGGGAATTAAACTGAAAAAGAAAAGGAAAGAAAGTAAAAAGAAAAGATAACTATGGTGGAAAGTTAGAATACTGATATTGATTGCTTTCTGTGCCATGCTGGGCCTGTGTGTTAGGATGCCTACCTTTTATTGCTTTTTTCTTAGCTTCTTAATTTAGTTGTAACACACACATGATTATCATAATTAATCAACTGTTGATGATAGTTAAAATGAAAGTACTTGCTGGCTTCCCTCATTGTCAAATGCTAAAATCCTAGGATAGCATTATTATACTACACAGTCATATAATGTATCAATTCATAGGTTTGCTCTTTAGAAAAAAAAAAGAATTCACAAATAAGGTACTTCATTAATTGTTTAAATATATATATTTCTTTTATGGAATTCTTACAAATTAAAAACATTTGCTTACTAAGCATTCCTAGGAAAATAGCTTTATATTCTCCCTTACTGAATTTAATGATCGTGTATAATCATTACATGCCAGCATGTCTTAACACCTTCTACTATGTATTATATGTCTTTGAGTGCTCTTTTCTTCTCCCTTACTATTAGACTTAAAAAAATTTTAATAACGAGTGGTTTTATTTTTTTTTAGTTTCCAACAATGCGTAGAACACCTAGTGAGTGTTCATGTATCAAATTGATTTAATTAGACTTTTTTATTATCTTACAGACATCAACTAGTCAGGCTGTCTTCCATCTCCAGTCTGGCATCTGCCATCTCTTCCGAGAAACTTTAATTAACAAAGGTTTTGTGGAAATCCAAACTCCTAAAATTATTTCAGGTGTGCTTCAAAATATTTCTCTTAACTCTTCCAAATAATTTTGCTTTGTGTAAAATTACTTAATACTAGATTTTTTATTTGAGGATACCAAGTGTCTCTTAAGGCTTATGGCCATAGTGTGATTTATTTTGACAACTATACTATTAGCAGCCATCAGATACCATTAGCATCAATAATTATTACATCTTATTTCAGGAGCCTTTATGTGATGGTGATTATAATACGAGGCAAAAATGCACAAAAAAAGATCCTTGTTACTTAAGTTGCACTAGGAACTATTTTCATTATGTAGATTTCTTTTGAAATTGCTATTGCAATTTTGTTTTGTAAAAACTGCAAAATCACTAAATACTGTAGACGGAAAAATCTCATTCTCGTTCTTATATGAGAACTTTATCTTAATCATTTTACCATTTTTTGAGTTGCTTAAATAATGCTAAAAAGTTTGTTGCAAATGACATTTAATTATAAATAAAAAGAAATTGAACACTGCATTATTGATGATCAGAAGGATGATTAAGAATATATTTTCAATTTTTTGCAATTCCAGAGTAGCTTTAATAGATTTGGAATTGATGCAGAAAGGAAAGGAATGGCATTAAAATGAATGTATACCCAAAGAAGTCAATCTGACTTAAACTATAAACTCTTTAGAATCAATCAAGTATAAGAAGAGCAAAACTGATCCACTGATTTACCTGCAATTGTTGATTTTCTTATTTTTCTTTTTAAAGAATTACTTGAACTATTTGTTTTATCCATTGATAAGTTTACATTTGATTATAATAAAATGAATATTTACATTTCAGCTGCCAGTGAAGGAGGAGCCAATGTATTTACTGTGTCGTATTTTAAAAATAATGCTTACCTGGCTCAGTCCCCACAGCTGTATAAGCAGATGTGTATTTGTGCTGATTTTGAGAAGGTTTTCTGTATTGGACCAGGTAAAGTTTTAGCATATATGATTCTGTTGATGTTCATTAATTATACAATAGCTAATGGTTTTAGAAACACGTTACATACATATAATGTACAGACATTTTGAAGGCTTATTTTTATCTGCTGACCACCTTAACAGCAGACTTTGAGGTATAGATGTGGTTGGGTAGACGGTTCAAAAAAAAAAAAAAAAAAATGAAGTATACACAACAATTCCTTAAACAGTTGAGCATCATTCATGTGAATAGAATCATAAACATTTCCTATAGAAGAAAGCTAATGAAAAATTTTTATCTTGGGACTAGCTCATTTTTAAAATGCATGCTTTGAAAATATATATCCTCTGAAATAAACCTAAGTATATTATTTATTATACGTAAGTATAATTAACACAAAATTAAGTTCCATTTGTACAGTCCTTTCAACTCCCGTCAGTATGAAAGGACAGCTAGTTGCAGTCTTCCAAATCAAACATTTTGTTCTCATTCATAGCACCTTAACTAATACTGTGAATTTACATTTGCTACCAGTTTTATTCCTGAGATGCTCTGTTTTACTTATTGTTTATACTGTCCTTAGAATTGGCAATATGCTAAAGTCCATTAGAGATTACTAACAAATGTCACATCTTTAATAGATTATATTAATATTTTTAAGATCTATTTGTTAAAAGCCATGCACTGGCACACGATCATGTCGTACATTACTGTATGAAGTTAATTATAAGCACAACAGCAGCTTTATTTCATTCTTTAAAATTTACCAAATTATTTCATACAAGTTTTTTGATAGCTAAATAAAAAGTAAATACTTGCTAATGGAGAAACTGGCAAGATCATTAAGTGTGTTAATTATCTGAATTTATTAACCAGTTATTTATTGAACACCTGCTGCATTGTAGCCTTGTGATAGGTACCATGTATATAGAAGAATCTACCAGCAGTTCTCAAACGTTAATGTGCACATGAATCACCTGGGAATCTTGTTAAATGTAGATTCTGATTAGTAGGTCTGGAATGGGGCCTAATATTCTACATTTTTCACATGTTCCCAGGTAATGTCAAACTACTGGTTTGCAGACCACAGTTTGAGTGGCAAGGGAATAAAAGTTGTCCCTGTTTACCAGACAGAAAGAGACATGCATAATCAAAGTATATTCACAGTGAATAATCAGACTGTGTGCTGTACAATCAGCAGATTGGTGTTAATTAAGTAGTATAGATAGTGTCAGAAGAGGGAAAAGATGAGGTTTGCTAGAGTTACCCTAAGAGAAAATTCAAACTGAATGGGGTTTTAAGGATAGTAGGCTGTATAGACAATGGAGGTGGCATCAGTCAGAGGAATCAGAATAAGTATAGAACATGGACTGTGGGAGAAAACAATAAGACTAGTTAGCATTAAGAAGAAATAGAAGGTGGAGGTTAGGATTAAATTGAGAAAGCATGGAAGTTTTAGACTTCTTGTCATTTTATGTCTTAGCACAGTAGTCATTTGGGAATCGTTTTAAGTTACTGAGCAAGGATTATGTTCTAGGAATATAAATCTAACAGTGATGTGAAAGATGGAGCAGAGCTAGAGTTAGGAGGACCAGGAAGGAGGAAAGTACAGAAACTAACTTAATGGCTAGAATGTGCATAATGTTAATTTGTACAGAGTTGCTTTAGTCTCAAATTTTAATAAGAGAAGAACTCAGTATAGTCTTAAGTGAACCTATTTTTAATTATTGAGATGGCATCTCAGGATCTTGCACTCCTTCAGGGTTCTTGTGAGCCTCATTTGTTCATTTACATTTGGTATGACTTTTGCACTTGACTGCTAACCATTAAGGTGGCGGTTCAAACCCCCCAGCCACTCCTCGGAAGGAAGGTTGGGCAATCTACTTCTGTAGTGATACCGCCTCGGAAACCCAGGGAGGGGTCACTATGAGATGGAGCCAACTCAGCGGCACATAAAAACAACAACATGGCTTTTACTGTATTACTGTAGGAGTTGAAATCAACTCTACAGCAGTGAGTTAGTAGGAGTCTGTAATGAACTTGCCATCAAAGAAGCAGAAACAGATGGCTTATCAGAGGTCCTTCCATCCTATAATGATAGGAACATAGTATCATTTGAGTACTACTAAGTAGAATTTTGTGGTTAAATCCTAATTTCTCTAAAATTTAAAATACCATTTGGTGTGTATTTCATTTATTTAACTTTACAGTATTCAGAGCCGAAGACTCCAATACCCACAGGCATCTAACTGAATTTGTTGGTTTGGATATTGAAATGGCTTTTAATTACCATTACCATGAAGTTGTAGAAGAAATTGCTGACACTTTGGTACAGATATTCAAAGGTCTTCAAGAAAGGTAAAAAGTATATTATAACCCTAGATCTGTTTACTTTCAAATCAGTTTGGGTTCTTTAATAAAAAGTAATTCTTGTTTGAAATGTACAAACTTGAGTTTCTACTGGAGATACAAATATATATGATCAGTTTAATTAATGGAAAATTCCACACTCAAAATAGTACTTCTGGATCTCAGTCATTTGGGACCTTGACTAGTTAATCTCTTTTTGATGGTAAAGTTTTCCAGATTGTGAACAGTCTATCTATATTTGTTTTTTTGCTTTATACTGACATCCTGAATATCTCAAGAAATAGATCATATGTTACTTTTATAGCAGTTTATTATTTGGGAGGCAATGTGGAGTAGTGGTTAAGAGTTTGGATTCAGTTACCATTGAAATAACCTGAATTTAAATTCCCAACTCCACTACTTACTTATCTTTGAGCTGTAGGGAAATTATTTAACTCTGTGCCTCAGTTTCCTCAGTTATCAAGTGGAGATAATATACTATTACCCACCTCAGTGGTTTGTTGTGAGAATTAAATAAGCTAACATGTGTAAATTGCTTCAACTGTGCATATGGTGAGCACTCAATATAGATATAAATTGATCTAAGACTTAAACAGTTGTGGCATAGGCATAATTTACACATGGACAGACTCATTAAAGATTAGAAACTAGTAAGTGAAGGGACTTTTTACCTGTTAAGATCTGATGAATTGACAACATTTAAAAAAAAATTATTAGACATGTACTGGGTGTTCAGAAAATTAAAATTATTTAAAATGTTTACTTTAGTTGTATGCTGTCGAGTTGATTCTGACTCATAGCAGTCTCATTGACGGAATAGAACTGTCTGTCCCCTTAGAATTTCCAAGGCTGTAATGTTTACGGAAGCCGACTGCCACATATTTCTCCACAGAGAGACTGGTGGGTTTGAACCACTGACTTTTCAGTTAGCAGCCAAGCACTTAACCACTGTGCCACAAGAGCGTCTTCCACTTTTAGCTACCGCCTCTAAAATGGCAAATAGCTTTACTATTTGACTAAATGTCATAGAAAATTGTTAATTTTCATGGAGAAAATAGGAAAAGAAAATGGAAATCAAGTGAAGTGGAATAAAAAAGTCTCTTTGTTTTTTTTTTCTTTTTCCATAATTGTGACTCTATTTTAAGAATTAGGCAGGTTAATAATATGGACTCAAACATATCAACAATCATGAAGATGGTGCAGGACTGGACAGCATTTCATTGTTGTACATAAGGTCACCATGAGCTGGAGCCAATAAACAAAAATAATAGGCTATAATAGACTTAGCTAGCTAGCTCTTTGGTAACTGATGAAGGATCATATATGAAATTTGTATCTGAAGACCAACCATTTATTGTTGATGTATTTGGACATGCTTCATTCATGTTTAAAAAAAGGTTCAAAATTTTTATGAATCTTACTGCATTGCAGGGTTAATGAGTAATTTTAAGAACCCAGAAATTAATCATTGACGTTACATAAAAATACCAGAGCATAAGCACAAATATTTTCCAGGCATCCTGTGCTTTGTATTGTACTTTGAATAATTGCAGACAGCCTCTTTTAAAAAAAAAATGCTTTGTCCTGTGAAACATTTTAATGCGGTTTGTTTTAAGCAACTTTTAATCAAATAGTCCATGGAATAATGAGTAAGTTTTCTGTATAAACCAAAATAACCTTTGAAATTATGATGAAGTAGCAGAGCTTTTCTAATTTTCTTTTCGTATTTATAATTCAAGAAAGTTTCTAAAGCCCATTTATTTTAGTATTGGTAGCGCTTCTATTTGATAATGGCATATGAAATTTCTACTTTGGTTTTTATAACAATAAACCAAGCATGAATCAGGCCCTTGGAATTAATCAAATCGCTTACAAGATTTGTGTTTTGAAATTTTCGATAATTAATACAAGTTTTAAAAATTAGACAGTTATTTATGTTATATGAAAATAGTAGAAATTAAAAATATTATCACTTCCTGAATAGTCCTCAAGACTTTCATGGGAGAAATAAATCTTTGTCATTAATTTATTCAAATCTTGTACTATACAAGGATTACCAAAATGGGGAAGGAATTGGCACTCCCTAAACAACTCTGGTAGCATAATGCCTAAGGCACTTGACTGCTAACCAGAAGGCTGGCGGTTCAAACCCACCAGCCACTCTTCGGAAGGAAGGTTGGGCAATCCTACTTCCGTAGTGATACTGCCTCGGAAACCCAAAGAGGGGTCGCTATGAGTTGGGGCCGACTTGACGGCAAATAACAACAACAACAAACAACTTTACAGTATAATGGGAATGAGAGAAGGTAAGACCAGGTATTCATTAATTTGGTCTTTCCCTGTTGATAACAAATGTTGGTAAGGGAATAAAAAGTCAGATTTTTAATGCTTCATAAAATCTGTAATAGTTTCTAACGATGTTAGCTGATATGAATTATAAAGAAAGTTGTGAATTTTTTTAATTCTGCTGTGGTGACAAACAACAGGAGACTGAGAAATAATGTTAAATATTTTAAGTATTTAAATTTTATTCATTAAATAATTTCTTGGTAACACAATTTCTTGGTAACACTTGGGAGCTCTGGTAGCATAGTGGCTAAGACACTTGCCTGCTAACCAGACGGCTGGCGGTTCAAACGC